CCTTCACTGGAGCCCAGACACCCTGTACCAGGAGGCCCGCAAGATCATAGGAGCAATTCATCAGGTACCTGCAGGATTATCTGATGAACAACATATCACATCTACCTGTTCTCATCACTTTGACTGGTGTTCTAAATCCTTTAAGATCCTAACATGGGAGCACTACCTGCCACGGGTCCTTGGTGAGAATGCCATGTCTCATCTGATGCCTCCTTACAAGGGTTATGATCCTGACATGGATCCCAGCATTGCTAATGTTTTTGCAACTGCTGCATTTCGTTTTGCTCACGTCACCGTGCAACCAGTAGTGACCAGATTGGGGCCAGGATATAATGCTAACTCGCAGTATCCCTCTCTGCCGCTGCATCACTCACTGTTTGCCTCTTGGAGGGTTGTGCAGGAAGGTAAAGAGTAATTTTGTTGTTTTACTTTGATTACATGTACTCAGCATTTCTATTTCTGTTTTAATTTCCTCCTGTTGTTTCAGGTGGTATAGACCCAGTGCTGCGTGGCCTCCTGCTGTCTCCAGCCAAGCTGCAGACTCCTGGTCAGATGATGGTGGAGGAACTGACAGAGAGGCTCTTTCAGGCACAGGGTGGGATGCCTCTGGACCTCGGAGCCCTTAATCTCCAGAGAGGCCGAGACCACGGCCTGCCCGGTATCAAGACTTGCAACCTCTCGCACCGATATCCCATCTGCTGACTGTTCTATTGTTCTCTTTTCCAGCTCCATGTTTTCATTATTGAAGTTAGCTAGAGTAGCTTTGCACCAGTCACAGTTAAAAGTAATCCATATGTACAGTATCTTATATTTATCCTTAATACAGTCTCTCACTTCCTCCTCTATCTGAAACAAGACGTTTTAGAACCTCCCCTTTTAAACAGACTTTCTTGTGATTGGCTGCCCCCCATATTAGAGAAGGGGCAGGTGGGTGGAGATTACTTGCACATATAGTGTCTTTATTTATATATTTTTTAACTTTGTCCATTTTTACTATCAGTATCCACTATTATTACAGTATATAGGACAGTGCAAAGTGCTTGAGCTACCCTTCATATTTTGGGAAATGGGAGACATACATAAACACACATTTGTTCAATTCTAACAGCCTTAAAAGTCAATATTTGGTATGACATCTACAGAGTGCAGCCTCTATAGAGCATGCTTTACAGATGGCTGTACTGGTGTGCCTCCTGCTTCAAATTTGTATTAATGACTCCATCAGACTCCATCATGTTGCCACTGATTTTGAGTCCAACTCTTGTTTAATCTGGCGTACCTCAGCGTTTTTTGCCTGTTTCATTCCTCAAGAATAGCTTCTTCACAGTTACCCTTCAACTGAGGCAATTTCTGATCTGAGCGGTTGTAGTTTTTCTGCAGTTACAGTATTCCCTCTATTATCACAAGGCTTCCATTCTGGGGAAATCTGCAAAGTAGAAACCATATGTTTATTATATTACTTTTGTATATTTTAAGCCATAAAAATCCTCCCCATGCTCTTATAAACCCTATTATAACTTTGTTATTAATTTTTTAGGCTAGATCATTCTTATTTTTACTGCAAAAATAAATTGCAGTTTTAAAAATTAAAACACGCAGAAACTGTAATATAAATTTGCAGATAAATCGAAAATGTAGCGTGTCTGGAAAGGTAAGACGCGATATGACTTGGGAATACTGTATACTAATTCTTGTATTAAAATGTGTGTTTTCATATTCTAGCTGCAAAAAAAATGAATGAGAGCACAGTTGAAGTTATTGTAATGTAAGTCAACGTGCACAACATCAAAGCATCATTAATAGTAGTTATACTTGTTTCATTGAAAGTCTGCCATGAAAAGTGTGTGCTGACTCATGAACCAGTCCCAGATGTAGGAATGTGTTAATAACCCTCCCAGGTGGCCTGTAGTCCTCTAATAGTTATTTGTGTTGCTTGTTAATTAAGAGTTAAAACTGGCCCTCTGAAATTTCCTTCTGGGAGTGACTTCTCACAGAGCTAAGCCAACTAGTTCCTAATGCACATTATCACGTGATGCTAATGCAACAGTCACTGCACAAAAAAACCTTGAGAGAATCCAGCTATGCAACCTAATCTCACCTTATTTATTTCATTTTTATATATCTACACTTAAGTTTGAAGGTTCTAATTTCCCTCCTATTACATCTACCTTCCTTTTTAACTGTAAAGCACTTGGTAAAATCAGTATTTTGCTATGTTCACTTTCACATGAGCCCCATATATTTAATGCTTATCTCACTTTCTTCACTCCATCTTTAACCTGCAGTCCTCTGACTCATCTCCTCCATCAGGATACAGCTCCTGGCGAAGGTTCTGTGGCCTTTCTGTTCCCAACAACACACTGGACCTGGCTGAAATTCTGGGCAACTTCACTTTGGCTCACAAATTCCAACTCTTATACGGGACACCACACAACATCGACGTGTGGGTGGGTGCCATCTCTGAGGCAGCTCTGCCCGGAGGCCGAGTCGGACCGCTCCTGTCATGCCTGCTCGCGAGACAGTTCAGAGCGCTGAGAGACGGTGACAGGTGGGCCACAGCTAAAATTAAATTATTAAAAATATGATGCATAAAGTGAAATTCTAAAATATGTGCTTGTCTTTCAAGGTTTTGGTGGGAGAGGGAAGGAGTGTTCACCCGCGCTCAGAGGAAACATCTGCGTTCAGTCTCTTTATCCCGCATCATTTGTGACAACAGCCACGTCACACATGTCCCTGCCGACCCGTTCTCACGCACCGAGACCTCGGAGGACATGTTGGCCTGTTCCGACCCCCTCATCCCTCACCTTGACATCAGCCCCTGGAAAGAGCAGGACTCAGGTGAGGCTGTAGAAAACAAGTTGTGTCGAGTATGAAGCTGGGATGGCCTTATTTTTTCACTGACTTTCTCACAGATCCCCGCTGCGGTCCAATACCCAGGATTCAATTTGGCTACTATCTCCTCTGTAACTCGGTGATCCTGTATCAGTGTCACTCTGGCTACAAGCTGCTGGGAACTTCATCCACCAGTTGTGATCCAAACAGCCAGCAGTGGAGCCCAGCACCCCCATCGTGTCAGGGTACGAAAACTAAACTGTCCAGTCAGTGTTGGGCAGTGGCAAGTGTTGTTGTTTTCTTTTAACGCCAGAGTTTAACATTATGTTTTTTGTTTAAGGAATTATAATTGTTAAAAAAAAAAAAAAAGGCAATAAAGCTCTTTTTAATATTGGAGACTTCATAACACAACTTTCATTTAAGATCAAGAATGAATTTGAAATTCCAACTTCCAGGAAGAAATTTTAACCAGGAAATTCTAAAATGAAAATTAAAAATACAATTCTCCAGAAAGGGCAATTTAACTAATTGCTGGAGTTTATTTTCATTTTTAGCAGTTTAGTCAGCTATATTATCTACATGAATTGTTTCAATATCTGGGCTGCAGCCCCCAGTGGACTGTGAAGGTACTGCGGCTGGGCCCTAGTCATTTATTTTTTTAAATAAATCATTCAGTAAACTTGTTTTTTAGTTAAAATATGCCATTAAATATGTCAGTTTAATTAAGAAAGTACTCGAGGTAATGAAAACAAGTGATGGGACTACAAAAATAAGATGTGCATTATGCAATTCTTTGTTTTCAGCCATATTTTTGCATCAGTAGTTGATAAAAGTAAAATGGAGCAGTGGTTGTCAGATGCCACAAGTGACGTTTGAAATAACCAGAAAATGTAATTAAAGGCTTGGGTGGACTGCAAAAGATATTCTGTGGGCTGTGGCAGTAATACGTTTGGAAATACCTGGCCAGTATCCTAATGAGATTTCAGCAAAACCTCTGAGATAAACTCCACGTACCTCGTAGAGACATCATTTGTTTCTCATCTGTTTTTTTGGCTGTTTTTGCAGATATCGATGAATGTGAGGAAAAGACTTCTTGTCCACAACACCTGGAATGCCTGAACATACCAGGCTCCTTTTTGTGCTCAGGTTGGTTTCAGATCACTTTAAATATTTCCCAATGTGAATTTTAAACACCATTCGGCACGTAATAAACGTCTGTCACTTCTGAACACCTCTTCACATGACCCAGAGCCCTCCTCGCTATCGGCCGTCTCCATCGTCACCGCAGTGATAGTGGTGTTTGGAGGCGTGGCCGTGCTGGTGATGGGCATGTTCTGTTTTCGAAGGCGAGTCATCTGCATGCAGATTTCTCATTTTACACAAACACTGGTGGGCTAGTTTCAACAGACTGAATTGAATTGAAATGTAATGATTAAAGGAGCTATACAAACATAGTGAAATTAATTGAACTGTTCATCCATCAGCTAAAAATATTTAACATTTCAATAACTGAATTTGTTTCTTGCAGATATTTCCCAAAGAGAGAAGCGCTGGTGACTGCTGGATGTTGCCAAGAGAAAAGTTAATCAATCCTTTGTAAGAGTTTGGTTGATTTTTGTTGTAATATTCCTGTGAAATTATCTAAATGTTTTTAAATGTTCTTATGTATTTAGCTGACTAGCCTCAGAGTTTTTTTCATCTTAATTTACAAGTATCACATCTGTGTTCAATAAGAGTTCAGCTTATAAGAAATTCATCTTGATTTCATCTTTTCTCCTCCGTGCCCTTTGATAAACAGCAGGTCAAACTATTTATTAAGGTCTGCTGTAATCGGTACAAAGAGGTCATCAAAACAGGGGCTCAGAGAAGTCTTTCCAATCCGGAAACTCAAATCTTACTGGAATGTCGGCTTCATAAAGCCCCTCTGAGCTGGACACGGTCTCAGTATTTCCTCGGTATTCCTGCTTGAGAACCTGTTTGGTGTATGTAAGTGTTATGACCTTATTCTAACCCCACATCTGTGACGTGCCCAGAGCAAACATCACCCCTGGGTTATCTGGTTGCACTGGGTTGAAATTAATTGAAGTGATGAGTCTTTCCCGAGCAAACGTCCGGAGTCTCCCTCTCTTGATCGGATTTCTAATAATAAAAGAGACATGGTACAAAAGTGACAGCTGGTATACAATGCCTCGTGTTTAATGCAGCTTTTACACAGTTGATTATGAGTACACTGAGGTCAGGAACCTCAAAGCCCTGCATAAGGCTAAGAAGCAGTTATTGCACGTTCTGACACACTATACTTCAAAAGTCAGTAACAATAAATCTATAATATGATGTACAACCTATATACACTATGGCTATTTTCTGCATTCATGCAAAGTCAATTATGGCTTTTACTTTATGTTCATACTGTTAACTACAGATGTGCAAAACTCAATCACATCTTAAAAGCTTTTTTCACCTGGCACTGTAAAGCTCTCCCTATTCTGAGCATGGGTGGGTAATAATTAACGATACATCTGATTTTTAGGTACAGGGCTAACGAGAAGCTGAAGGTGACTAAGTTAAGTCTTTGTACAAGGCAGAGCAGGAAGTGTACCAACAAAATTAAGGCCATGCTCAGAATGAAGGTCTGGGCTGTGGTGTCTGAGCTGATAACTGAAAGTACAAAGAAAACAAGCTGAATCATTGCTGTGTGGAAACAATAAAACTATTACACCACATATTTGTAATACTTGAGGTTAAGATTGTGCTCATTATTTTGCAGGCTAATGCCTTAATCAGGACACAGTCTATTGTATAAAAATGAGAAATTTTGTATTTCGTGGATGATTCAGTAAGAAGTTTCTCCACACTTTCAACAATAACAACAGTTATTTTCCGGGAATGTGGTGCAACAGAAAAAACCTCTCCAACATGTCTGGGAATAATATCATCTTTTAAAAAAAACAACAAAAAAAAACATGGACTTTAATGTCATTCCTGGAGTGCTGATTTGATTCTGATCGTTTTATTGCATTTCCAAAGGTGACAAACATGTTTTGCTTCCCTTGTTGGTGACCTTTGCTGCAGCACTGTTCAACCTGATCAAAGACATGTGCGTTGCCACAGTTACCCAAGGCTGTAACTGCTATGCTCTCTTGTTGGGTGTTCCAGGTACCGTCCTAGCCCTGGTCAGTGAGGTAGAAACCTAATTTCGCCACATTCATCTCTCTACGAAGACGCATGATTTCCCAGAACATCTGCTCCGCTGAACATGGAGGGGGGAAAAAAAATAGAAAGAAAGATGTTGGTTGTTGGCAAAGTTAAGACCGAGTGGTAACAGAGCCGCGCACCTGTAATTCAAAGGAATTTTAAAGGAAGACACATTATTCTCTAATTCTATGTAGTGCATAACTTCATGTGTTTTCTGGGAAAGAAGAAATGATTAAATGATTCATCATATAATAAAAAGGACAACTGATTATTAATAAAACATCAACATAATGATTATTAAATAAAGATGTAAAAAGGCAAGATTAATCTATCACGACACAGCTTGTGCCCCAAAAAAAATACAGTGGAAGAAAGTTACCACAAAGTTACCATGAAATTACCCACTACTTACTTATGCTGTACTTAAAAATACTCTACCTACTTGCAGTACAATTTGTATCTTTCAGTAAAATACCTGAAGTTACTCACTACTTAAAATTCCTCATGCATTGCATAAAATTACTTGCATAATAATTACATTTGCTTAAACTATTTACTTCTGTCTCTGTTAACTTACCATCATGTCTCACCAGGCCCTGCTGGATGTAGCGGATATAAGTGAAGAAATTGCAGACAGCCGTGATCTAGAAAAGCGAATATGTGACAAGGTCACGACTCTACACAGTGGCTACGCAAACTTTTATAACACTGGCATGCCTTGGGATTTTGTATCATTCAAACATTATTACTATAACTGCAGAAAAGTAATGAATGATAATTAAACTTTGCAATTTGTACATATGAAGATGAAAATCACATTAAAGGCCACTCATGAGAATAAAACAAAACATACGAAACACAAGAAGAAAAAAATGATATACTATGAAAGCTACCTGCCTTAAGGCTTCAGCTAGACAGAAGATGTTAAGTCGTTGCGTGAGTGCATCATTTGCTGGGTGGAGTTAACTAATGCTAATATGGTGCAAAGCATACTTAGGGCGAGGCACACAGAAACCAAACATTCCTTCAGAGAGAAAGATTGCCTGAGAGAAACAGCTGAGGATCTGAACCACAGGTAGAAACAACATGTGTTTGCTTGAGTCAAACTGTTTGATAAGAGTGTGCAAACAAGACTACAGGTGTGCCTTGGACAGAAAGGAAGTGATATTTACCCGTGCTCGGCTGGAAGGTGAGATGTAATAGTAGCTCTCTTTGTCGCCAAGTTTAATGCGATGTTTGCAAAGCCGTGACAAGCCACTTAATGCACATTTTCTACAAGAGAAAACAACGTGTCAACAATTCATTGCAGCAACACGTAGATGCACAATCATCTGTTTTAGGACAGAATACAGCAAACATGAGCTTACAGGCCTTTAGTTCTTCAGCAGTAAAACATACTGAGAACACTTTACAACTTGTTTTAGTGAAAGAGGTGCGCAGAGAGAAAGTTAGCCACAAAAGGAATGAAAGTGGGATCCTGTCTGGTTCATTAATTTACAGATTTGTTTATATCGTTCCACACATCTGTGTTGACAGTTTTTTATTTCATGCCACAGTTATCAGAGTTAGTGAAAAGCTGAAAGGGTTATTAGCTCCCGAGAGGACTTACGTCTCTACTGCAGCCCTAAAGCCACTGGGGAAAAAAAAAAACAATTTTAGATCAGGCAGTGATTAGAAATGTGCCCACTGATTAAACCACTCTCAGTCATAATTGTAAGATAGACAAAAGGCTCTGATCATAAACCATCGATGGAAAAACCAAACCAACCAAATCAGAGCAGTGAGTGGTGAAACACGACAGGATGACAGTCATGACAGTCGGGTAACTCACTTAGGACCTCCACACTCTATAGCTGAGGCTTTAACCATCGGTACTGCCGACATGGCGACAGGCTCAATGGTCAGAGAGTTGTTCTCCACTGCGCTCTGGACCAGGTGGGACAGCTGTGGAGAACAGGAATCAATAACTTTAACATAACTTCACATTAACTTCCTAAGACCCAAACGGGCATGCATGTTTTGAGCATATTGGGGGCCAGATGAATGTAGAAACAAAGAATTGCCACATTTTTTTAACCTTATTTCTGTTTTTAAGAAAAATAAGAGCCACATATGAGGATATTCGTTTAAAATTTTGATAAACAGTAGCAGTATAATGTCCTTATAAGTGGATATCAGGCCCTTGTAGAGCAAAATTTAGTATTTTGGTCTAAATAACCCAAAATGTGATGTCCACATATGTGGACGCCAGGTCCTAGGAGGTTAAAATACACATGAAGCAGCATGGTAGCTGTACAAAGAAGCAGTGAGTATGACCTCTGATCTCGTGAAGGAGAGGCAGGGCCCGATGTCTTCTCTGTAAATACGACTCAGGAAGGCGGAGGAGCGGTCCAGGCTCGGGCGTTCCTTCCACATCAGAAACTCAGCAAACAAAATGGAGTCCATCTGCAGAGAGAAAACCAAACCTTCACTCAAACTGGATAAAACTGATTCTCTGACACACATCTAGATTAAAGACGTGTTTAATCCCCAAAAGACCGATGACTGACGATAAAAGATCCACTGTTGAACACACAAAAGTGTTTAAATACTAAAGATTAGAAAATCTTGTATTCAAAGAATTCGGGCTGTCAAAACATCAGAGTTTAAAAAGGAAATATCATCAATATAAAGCCCATAAAATTCCTCCACCTTATTTAGGATTTATATGATAGAAGACAAATGATCTCAGCAGACCTGAAGTGAAAATCATTTTAAAATAATCAGGAAGTCTGGGAATACCAAAACAGACTGGACTGGAGCAAACCTTGAGCATGCTTTGGTCAATTCATATAGCTCATAATCTGGATTTAGAAAGTGTCTATAAATCTGTTCTTCATACTTCAAACAAGGCAAGTCTCAACAAGAAGCCCATTTTAATAAAGCAGACAGCGTTGATAGGTCACCTGTGAGTTTAACAGGCAGTTAAAGAAAATTCAAAACACATCAAGTGATCCTTTAAGTGGAAAAACGTAGTGAAGATCCACCATCGCTATGAATTAAGGGATGTAATCATCTCCTCTCCTTTCATAAAAAGGATGGTCCAATGCATCCTCTGCTAAAGGATGTAATAAATGAAATACTGAAACACCTCATTTTGTTATCTGGAGAATTAAAACAGCTCTTAGTAATGCTGCTGTGCAGATAACTCCAGGTCAGGTCACTCAGTAACTTTCCCAGGCAAAACTGGCTGTTCGACAGCGCTCAGTCAAAGTTCTGGAGTTTGTTGTAGGAAGGGATTCCCACAGTGTGAAAATTATGGAGTTTCATACTGAATTTGGCAGGAACACTTTCAGTGGCTGTAAGATCTACAGCGCCTCCTTCAATATTGAAAAAAAAAAATGTAATATTGAAAATTGTTTCTAGCTGAATGGACACTTTGAGCTCTTTAAGCTAAAAACTGCTCCAAACGGTTTGTTCATTTCCATTTTGACCATTTGTTTAACTTTAGCTTTAATTTTTTAATGTTAGTTTTACTTTTTATTCTTTATTCTTATTCTTATCAATGGTGTTGTTGTTGGTAGTAGTAGTAGTAGTATATGGGCGGCACTAGCAACGGGGAAGTAAAATAATAAATAATCCAATGCATCATTATAACCACTTGACTGACAGTCATGTAGACATCCTCAATGTCAAACATCAGCAACAATGTCTCCTCAGGCTCATTGCATAGACAAATATCTCCAGAGAGACAAGATTTTGATTTTGGTTTTTGATTTCTTTAGCTTGTTTTCAAATACACAATATCATTTCTGGTAGTTTTTAGTTCTCTAAAAACTTGTTTTAGTTAGTTATAATAACCTTTGTTCATAGTAAGACATAACACCAGTTATGTGGAGAGGATCTAGAGACAATATCTCCACAAATGACACATCAGTTGCAGTTAAACATTAATCCATTATGATAGAAAAGTCAAACAATACTTCCAAACTCATAAAAAAAAAAAAAAACAACAGCTGCAAAACTGTGAGGCCGAAATTTACAACCCTGGGTAATATGGATAAGAGACACCAGGGACAATTAGTTTTGGTAACCCTACCACACTTTTAGCAATGAGCCAGAGGCACTGACATTACTGAACCAGCTCTACAAATTCTAGAAATTATGGTGACATAAAATGGTATCTTTTGTTTTTTGTTGTAGTCATACTAGACAATCCAGTGAGTGTGTCATGCTTGGCAATTTTCAAAAATATCTATAATATCTTGATATTAGCTAACATATCTGTGATTATCTGTCAAGAACTGGGTATAAACTGTGTGTTTCACTAATGTACGTTCAACACAGATAACTCCAGTAAGAAACAAACAGCTGCATCAAGAAGTCCCTGTTCACCTTACATACACGCTGAAAAATTTCAATACAAACTATGGAAGGAAAAGCTCTCAGACCAGACTCACCACACTCTTGACTCAACAGATATCACAGTCAAGACGCAGATAAATTTGAAAGATTAGAAAAATGTAGGAAATGTAAAGGAATGCAGATTACCTGTCTGCCATCGGTGCCTATCCCCTCTATCTGTTTTTGCCATTGAGGGTCATAGGTCATACTGACAGACTGGCCAGGTATCAGACAGAAGATCAGAGAGAGGAGGGCAGGAGCAGCAGGCTGAGAGAGGAAGAGACCCCAGATAAAGACAAGAAGAACAAGTCGGAGGGGTTAGCAGAAAGAAGGGAAAAAAGGAAAGAGAATCTGGCTAAAAGTGATAAAAGTGACTGGAAACAGAAATGGGAAATAAAGTGGGACGCATATGGACGCACACCTGAAGGAGAGGAGAGACAACTGTATAAACTTCAGTTTACCTCTCGGTCCTCTTTGGACACAGGCTGATTGGAAACTTCTTTTTTTGCAGGTGAGAGTGGAAATGCACCGCTGGCGCTCTTGTTCCGGATGTGCGATTTGTACGATCCCCTGGTACCTGAAGACTGCAGCTGTGGATGCAGCTGGCGATTTGGTGAAGAAGGTGTGGATGTCAACACCAGAGTCTTGAGTGCCGTCACTTCTGCTTGCAGAACATCAATCTGCAAGCCAGACACAAAAAAAATTAAATATTGATAATTTGAAGCTATTTTATGACCTTCAACTATGTGAAAAAAAACTGTTCTGATTCAGGAAAGATTTCTGTTCTTCACTGTTTTATTATTTTTTTTTTTAAAGAAACTTCACACACCTTCCCCTGAGCCTCCTTGAGCTGTTTCTCTGAAGCTGCTTGTTTCACATTAGCATCACGCACCATCTTGTGAGCCTCCTGTTGAAAAGTAAATTGAGACTAATTAAAATTGTACGTTCAAAGCTCAGCAGCTAGACAAAGACAGTGACTGGCTGGTCAACACAGCAGAACGTGTAAGGAAAAAGATGACCTTCGTGGCATTAAAAAGCTACTTTTGGTAAGAAGTGTGCTGTCAATTTTGCGACTAAAAAGGTATTTTCTGCAGCTGGTCTTACTGCATATCCTTAAGAGTGTAAGATTTTGAAATATACTTTGGATTATTTTCCATCAGAAATTATCTGTTTTGAACTGCTAATCTGCACCGCTCTTAACAGACTTCTTTCTGTTCACTATTAAATTGAGCTGGCTACATCTTTGTTTATACATTGATGCATTTTAGTAGCTAAACCTCAGAGCTAATTTAGAACAAACTTGGTAAATCTTACTCTTAACAAATAGATGGATTCCTCCAGAGTCAGTGGGTCAAAATTTTTTCAAAGCAATTACAATGTTGCTTAAAAAAAATCAACCTGATTTTTTTATTTATATAAAGGAAGTGATGGTTCTGTAGAAATGCAAACTGCTGACTTTTGTAGCATAGCACCAACCACCTTCTTCGTCACCAGCTGTCAGAATTACAGTGCACTCAGCAGAGAGCGATGATTACTGCTGACCTCAAACAGACTGGCTGTCAGCTCCTCTAGCTCCTGCTCCAGTTGATTCCTAACTTGCGACAGACGCTCGCACTCCTTGTCCTTTAGTTTCAGTTCCTGAGATGTGCAGGGGAAAAGGACACAACCACATTTAAAACAGAGAAGAACATTTGCATTGTCAGCGCCTTGTTTTCCTGGTCACACTATCTTTTGTTTCTCTGTGTGTGCGCAACCACAAAGTAGGTTACTATACCTTCTTTGCAGCATCCAGCTGTTCCCTGAGGATTTCTGACCCTTTTTCCCTGATTTCCAGGGAAGAGCTGCGAAGCCGGGAGAGCTGGCCATGGCCTCGGATTGACGTGGGCCCGACTTGGCCTCCTCCCTCCATTCTGGTCTCTGGCTCTGGATCCAGATCTACCAACCTTCACAAGACCACAAAAAATAAATTGTGTAATAAAAAATAAATAAATATTTAAAAATAAAATCAATCTTGTACTTAACTACATCCTAATGAGGTTTACAATTTACTACTACTTCTACTAACAGGTCTCTAATGGCTGGTATGCCGTGTTTACAAAAATACAACCAGAGCATTTTCACATTTAAAACCCAGAGGTTTCCCCAATTTAAAAATATAAAAATAAAATGAAAAGTAGCTTGACAAAAAAAAGGATCACAAAATCAAATGTTGGCCTTCAGCATTAGTATATTAATGCTTTTCAGGTAATAGTTTAGATCACAACCCTGGATCCTGACACAATTGGCATTTAGGCTTTGCTAAGTGTACAATCTGATTACTTAACACATCATGTTGGTAGTAAGTGTGTAGATTTTACAGTAATTTAAAAGACTAAAATTAACACCAATGATAAATAAACTTAACATCTACAAGAAATAAAAAGTAAACTGAAACTAGAACCACTTTTTAAAACTACACTATAAAATGTAAACAAAAACTAAAACTGTAGAAAACCAAATAATACTTAAAAGAAAAAAACACCAAACCATAACAACCTTAGAGCCAGTGTGATTACTTACAAAACCCTGAGATTCATTTCTACTTACTTTTACAGTGTCAACACAATCTAACAACAATAGCCTTCTTGGTTACAACAGTGCGCTCACTGCAAGACCCCGGGGTGGACCTCGCACCACAGCTTGGAAACCCCTAATACAGCATTAAAAATCCCGACATTTGAATTTAAAGGAAGCTTAAGTTACTTTTATCCCCAAATTGCAGATAAATCGGTCCACAAAGCAGCTAAATAATTAGCAGACCTTGAGCTAACTAGCTAGTTAGCTTACACTTCCAACTTTTTTTCTTTTCTTTTTTTTTTTTTTTTTACCACGGAGAGGTCCCTCGTCAGTATCCGCCCTTACCCTCTCTGTCAGTGTCCGGGACAGCAGATAAATAAACCTCCCAGCCCGTCTGCGTATTTGTCAGCTGCTCCTCTCCAGTTTCCCTGAGCTGCTGCTGCTGCTGTTAAGTTAAGAAATATTGCATAAACCGAGCTAATGTCCGAGCGAGTTTCAGTGAAACTAATCCCAATCGTTTTCAATCACAGCTGAGGAATGCGGACGCCTGCGCAGACGATCAACCGCCCAGCAGCAGCAGTTTCAGTCAGAAACAAGACGAAAATCAAGAGCAATGCCAGCTCTGGTTTGCACTTCCTAGAAATAACACTCACTTCTTTCTTCTCCTTTTTTTTTGCCAAGACAGGAAAACGAGTGTATCTCCTTTTTCCTGCCTCCTCCTCCTTCTTCTTCTCTCTTCTTCGCTCTCACAAGTCACATGATGACATCCACCCGACTGCCCAACCGGCACGTCCTGTACGTGGACCAACAAGGTGTCACGGGTCTACCTGCTTAGGTGTATGCTTTTTGCGTGACCAGAGACAACAGATTACAGAGTCACTCTATGGAAAATCAGTGAGTCCCCCCCTCTCTGATCCCCCAATATCAGCTGATATTTTTTATTTTACTTTATTTTGTAGTAACTTTATCATACTTAATGGAACCATTCAAATAATTTTTCTTCACTGGGTAAAAGCCATTCAGGGTACAGAAATGAAGTAAGAGGCCTAAAATCCAGCTTTTGTAAGTGCAATGTAGCACAGAGTGACAGAGCCTTATGTACTTACCGTGTTTATATACTTTATATTAAGTGTTAAAATCTCTTACATTCAAGGATGATAAAACATAATGTGTGCTAGTTGCATTTATTTTTTTATGTAATCAAAATTAAAAATAGTAAGTTACTACAAATTGTTTTTATTTAGTAGAACTTGATTTTTCCGAGTGTGCAATACTAATTGTTTACCCACAAGTTATTCTTAGTACTGTGTACTGGCAATGAATAAGATGTCTTAACATAGTTAACTTTTTCTCCTTTTTTTCAGTCCACATGTTTGCATACTTTTTTAAGTTCCTGGAACTAATTAGGTTGTACAGGGTACTCAGAATAAATAAGTTGCCCTAACTTAGTTATCTTAGGTAAGCTTAGCTTTTTTGAGGCAACAAGTTTGCATACTTTTTTTAAGTTCTGGGAACTAATTTGATTTTACAGTGACCTGATTCCTGCTGTAATTAAATCAGAAGTTTAATCAAAAGATAGTCAAGAATCAATAAAGTTGAATAAAAATATAATTTTAATGTGCAAACCTTTAAGCCCTGTGTGTGAGGAAAGTGTAGCAGGCAGAAAGATAGAGAAATAGAAATGTTTTTGATTTTATTATGCATGAACAACCAGAAGAAGTCATTTTTTAACTGTATTGCGATTGATTAAGCCTTCTTTTTTTACAAATTGGATTCACTGTTTTTGAGATTTGCTCTGCTCACTGCCCCAATCCAAGATTGGGGCGTTCTCCCCTTAGCCATGCAGGATGGCTGAGTGGAGAGTTCATCTACATGTTCTCTCTCTCCTCCAATAAAATGTCATCAAACCTGACAATAGGTATTTAGCAACAGTTTAGATTAGATAATTTTACATTTTTTCACTTTTCTTTGAACTTTAAAACATTTCGATTATTATTAACCAGTTGAGCTGTTTGCTTTGCCCTTGCTAAAATGCTTTGTAAAGTATCCTATCTGCTAAAGTTAAAACTGTTTACATTCCCTTTTTTGGAATCTTTTTTAATGTAAAGATAAAACTTGAGTATGAGTATTAACATTCGCTTTTGTGAGGGTTATAGTATATAATAGGTTATTCTACCCTTTAATCAGAGACTTGGACGCTTTGAATGGATTGCCCGTCCAGACTTCTGTACAGATTGTAAATTTGAAGGTAAATGTGTTAAATAAAAAAGTTAATT